TTATCTTTTATATTTATGAATTAACCATGACGCAAAGCAACCACATTAAAATGGGACACACACCATTGTGGTCTGTCTGTTCCTCATCCTATAGCACACTCCATACATTTAAGGGGATTTTCCTTATTTTGATATAATAAAGGACAGAGCTCACAGTTGACTCCCACATGATGAGGAATAGATCATTGATTCACTCTCACCTGCATTCACTTAATAGTTTTCCTCATCTCCACTGAACTGATGGATTTGCTAAATGTCATTTTCTACAATCAATAGATAAATGTAATGTGATTATTTCCTATAAACTGATCATTTCTGAAATGTCATAATCTACAATCATTTATGTGATAAATGTGATGATTGACATAAAATAGTTTGATTAAATGCATCATCTGAACTTTACATAGGAATCAGTAGATAAATGTGATAAACAGTCTGTCACTAATATTAATTTACACGTGGTGAATTTCATTAGGCAGACTTGAACTGTCAGATTTAACAGGTGTTCTTATCTACATATATTTTGTCCCTTTGATGCAGGATTTATAGAACATGATATTATGCTGACATGCTGAATTTTCTTCGTCACTTGCGCGTTAAGCCTGTCGGAAAGATATATAAACACGCCACCTCCCTTGCTTTATTAATCGCTGCAGTATTGCCTTTGTTCCTAATCATGTCCTTATAGTCCTCATACTCTTCCATAAGGAGCGTTTGCTCTGCCGTAGAAAAAGCCTCTGCTCGCTCCTTTCCTTTGCTTTTTGACATTTTGCAACATGTTCGGCACTCGACTAGTTTGGGTTTTTTTTTTTCCCTGGGCGCGTGCATGAGTTGAGGCTTAACAGGTGAGGCTTGAATTAGTGTCAGTTGGAGCCAGCTGATTTCACTTGATGGAACGGGTTGGAGCTAGATTTGGAGTTGGAGTTTAGTCAGACTTCAAGATTACACCTTAGTCTGAATATTCTTAGCTACGTTGATGGAATACCCCCCTGATGATGATGATGATGATGATGATGTAAAGAAATAAACAACATGTGCAGAGTTGTTTGTCTTCAGAGTTCAGTGTTTGGCTGTTGTTGACTGTAACATCCAGCAGGTGGCAGTCAGAGACTTGATTCACTCCTTCACCAGGAGACACATGAACAGTTAAAATCACTCAGTAATGTTCAGACTGTTGTTTTGAACTCAGCTTTGTGTGTTTGTGACACCTGAACATGAGGTGACTCTGTCACAGACCGACCTGCTCGTGTTATTGATCGACAGATTGATCCTGTGAAGAGACGAGAGACGTCTTGTTGTCCTCTGCTCAGTGGTTTGTAATTTGATGTTGTTGTTTGTCCAGGTGGACCGTCACCTGCGTAAACTGGACCAGGAGCTGGCCAAGTTTAAGATGGAGCTGGAGGCCGACAACGCCGGCATCACAGAGATCCTGGAGAGACGTGAGTCACTCGCAGCTTTAGATTCATCAGACACGATTATTTATTTCAGAGAAGGTGTAGTCAGTTTAACTTCCTGTCTTCTTGTCCCCAGGGTCTTTAGAGATGGACAGTCCATCTCAGCCGGTCAACAACCATCACGTCCACTCTCACGCCACCGCTGAGAGTAAGTGTGATCTCTGTCTGTATATCTGGGTCAGTGTTTACCTCCGTCCCTCCAAGATGTTACCATCACACCCATTAACGTGAATTCAGCTAATCCCAGTGAGTTCTGCCCTGTGACCTCACAATATGAACACAAATGTGACTTTTTAAAACAGGTAAAATCTCATTTAATTCAGTGTCAGTGTGAGATCAACAGCTGCTGTGAGGTGTCTGCCCCAAACAAATACAACAAGTAGAGATGGGATCAGGTTGTCCTGTTTTAGCTCGAGCTAATCAGGCAGACAGAGCAGGAGGAGAGGGAGACAGTCTTCTGCAACAAATAAAAGAGTCTATCAAACATCACAACACACACTGCAGTTTCTGAGATTTCTCAGTGAAACCAGACGTAACAACTCCGCAGACATCCTGTGAGGTCCTGGAGGGACAGAGGACACTCTGTGAGACACGTCAGGTGTTGGACAGTTTGATTAATGAGTGTGGTGTCTCTGACAGAGAGGAAGTACAACGCTCCGACTCACCACACTACAGAACACGTTCCAGAGAAGAAGTTCAAGTCTGAAGCTCTGCTGTCCACGCTCACATCAGATGCCTCCAAGGAGAACACGCCAGGTGACCACACACACCTGTACACACCTGTCTCTGTTTGTCTCTCTCCTCTGTCTCTGTGATAACTGTAGATTATGTCCCCTGCAGGTTGCCGTACCAACAGCACGTCCTCGTCCACCAACAATGTGTACAGTGTGAACTCGTCTCAGCCTCTGGCCTCATACAACCTGAGCTCTCTGCCTGCGGGGCCCGGGGCCGGAGCTGGGGCCATCACCATGGCTGCTGCTCAGGCTGTGCAGGCCACCGCACAGGTCAGGAACTACACACACACACACACACACACACCTCTGGCTGGTCTTTCCTCAGGATGTTCCCTTAAACACTTTAATCCTCAGGTTGTGTTTGTATCTTACGTAATTTCTTAACATCAGTCGTCCTTAGCAACTTTAAAAAGAAACTTAAAGGAAAGTTTAGAGAACCATAATGGATACTGAACCTCAGCGAAGCGTTCTTTATCATTTTTCCAGTCTGGTACTGGGGAAGTTTTGGGTGGTGCATCAAGTCTCAGATGCTCTCAGTTATTTCCTGAACACCTTCATCAAGTTTCCACCAGAGCAGAGCACAATGCAGACTCCCAACATTTTCCTTCTACACTGGGTTCCCCAAACTGTGTGCGCATGTCAGCAGGGTTCCTACAGTCGTGGAAAACCTGGAAAAGTCATGGAACTGCAGGAACAGTAAAACCTTAAATCCTGATGATGAACTCTTGAGATGTGTCGTGCAGCTGGCCACAGTTTTCATATCCTGGATGTTAATCCTGTGACGTCCAAAGAGATTGTCATGACACTTATTTAAGATGATGGTCCGTCAAAATAAACTAGTCTTTTGTGTTTCGGACTGTTGGTGGATCAGCACTGTAATTTACAGTCTGTTGAATGTGTTGATGTGCTGGTGGTGTTTCCAGATGAAGGAGGGCCGGAGGACGTCCAGTCTGAAGGCAAGCTACGAGGCCATCAAGAATAACGACTTCCAGCTGGGCAGAGAGTTCGCTCTGTCCCGGGACAACACCGGATACTCCTCCTCTGCTCTGGCCTCCACCCTCACCCAGACCCTCACCCCCACCACCGCCTCCGACTCCAGGGGACGCAAGTCCAAGTAAGACACACACCTGCACACACACACACCTGCACACACACACACCTGTGTTTAATAAGCAGAAACTGGTCTGAACATAACTTGAGACCAAAAAGTTTAGTAAACCGATTTTTTAGATACAGATTTCATGGTCTGTGACTGACGTGTACATTTATAACAAACATGTCTTAAACTAACTGTGTATGTTCACATAGATATAACACCTGTGTCTATCAGGGACACCTGTGTTTAATTATTCTTTAATAAAACACACACAGGAGCATGTACAACACATGAATGAGAATCAGATTCTTGTTTCAGCTGATTAATATGGTCATTTCATTTCTGTGTTTTTTCCCAGAAGCAGCATCAAGTCTTCCAACCACCAGTCCTCTTCATCGTCCTCCTCTTCCTCTCTGTCATCCTGCTCTTCGTCATCGGCGCTGGCTCAGGAGCTTTCCCAGCAGGCCTCAGCGCTGCCCGAGGCGGAGGCCAACAGCCAGGTGGACTGGACCTACGACCCCAACGAGCCCCGATACTGCATCTGTAACCAGGTACAACCATTTATTTGTTCACCTGTCGGCAGGTAACCTCATCTAGTTATTCACCTTTCAGCAGGCGCTATCCTGGAATGTGCTGTATAAATCCAGTGTATCATTATTAGTGTTATTAAAAATCAAAGAGAGAAAAAGGAAAAATTTAAGGATATATGAGTGTAGAAATTTAAATATACTGTTTCCACCTGTACCCACAGCTCACACTGACCAGTCAGTGTGAGCCGTGGGTGTGATGTCACAGAGATCAATAGCTGTATTGATTGAGATGATGCTGTTTGATATTTGCAGGTTTCTTATGGAGAGATGGTCGGCTGTGACAACACAGACGTGAGTATCAGCTCAGCAGCTTCATTAAACACTTTCATTATAAACTCAGTATTATTTACATGTTTGACTCAAACTGTCTGAACATCAGTCATCAGATTGTTAATGACTTTGTTTGTCGTCAATATTGATCTTAAATTAACTGTTTGATCATTTAATAATCAGATATTATATTAACTTAATGTTTGTGTTGTTGTTCAGTGTCCGATCGAGTGGTTCCACTACGGCTGTGTGGGTCTGACGGAGGCTCCCAAGGGGAAGTGGTTCTGTCCTCAGTGTACGGCCGCCATGAAGAGGAGAGGCAGCCGCCACAAATAGACTTTAACCTCCAGGTCGTCCTCACAAACAACAACACCACCACCACAAAGGTCAGAGGTCAGAGGTCAACCGGCCGCTCACAAACAAGACACTAAAAACACTTCTCACAGTTCTCAGATTAAAACCACATATCAGCCTCCAAACATCCAACGCCACCACGAAACGCTCCGCCTGGCGTCTTTATCTCACTCTGTGGGATTATTTCAACATCCTGAATTTATTCAGCATCAGAATTCTTGATGTTCCACACTGAGATTAATCTCATAACTCACATGTTTTAAACACACTCCACCATTTTATGTTTTTCTCCTCATAAAACAGAACATTTAAAAACTCTCCGTTAATTCTGGAATGTAAAAATAACCACTGATCAGACGTCATCATGCATCTCATTCCAGTTTACTGAGGACGTAGTGACAATAACCTGAGGACGTAGGACGTAGTGACGATAACGTGAGGACGTAGTGACGATAACCTGAGGACGTAGTGACGATAACGTGAGGACGTAGTGACAATGACCTGAGGACGTAGTGACAATAACGTGAGGACGTAGTGACGATAACGCGAGGACGTAGGATGTAGTGACGATAAGGTGAGGACCTAGTGACGATAATGTGACGATAACGTGAGGACATAGTGACGATAATCTGAGGACGTAGTGACGATAACCTGAGGACGTAGGACGTAGTGATGATAACGTGAGGACGTAGTGATGATAATGTGAGGACATAGGATGTAGTGACGATAACGTGAGGACGTAGTGACGATAACATGAGGACCTAGTGACGATAATGTGACGATAACGTGAGGACGTAGTGACGATAATCTGAGGACGTAGTGACGATAACCTGAGGACATAGTGACGATAACGTGACGCTAACATGAGGACGTAGTGAAGACAATCTGAGAACGTAGTGACGATAACGTGAGGACGTAGTGACGAAAATGTGACGCTAACATGAGAACGTAGTGAAGACAATCTGAGAACGTAGTGACGATAATGTGAGGACGTAGTGACGACAATCTGAGGACGTAGTGACGATAACGTGAGGACGTACTGACGACAATCTGAGGACGTAGTGACGATAACGTGAGGACGTAGTGACGATAACGTGAGGACATAGTGACGATAATCTGAGGACGTAGTGACGATAACTTGAGGACGTAGAGACTATAACGTGAGGACGTAGGACGTAGTGACAATAATGTGAGGACGTAGTGACGATAATGTGACGATAACGTGAGGACGTAGTGACGATAACGTGAGGACGTAGTGGCGATAATGTGAGGACGTAGTGACGACAATCTGAGGACGTAGTGACGATAACGTGAGGACGTAGCAACGATAACGTGAGGACGTAGGACGTAGTGACGATAACGTGAGGACATAGTGACGATAATCTGAGGACGTAGTGACGATAACCTGAGGATGTAGTGACAACAATCTGAGGACGTAGTGACAGTAACGTGAGGACGTAGTGACGATAATGTGACGATAATCTGAGGACGTAGTGACGATAACCTGAGGATGTAGTGACGATAACGTGAGGATGTAGGACGTAGTGACGATAACGTGAGGACGTAGTGACGATAACCTGAGGACTTAGTGACGATAATGTGAGGACGTAGTGACGACAATCTGAGGACGTAGTGACGATAACGTGAGGACGTAGTGACCATAACGTGAGGACGTAGCGACGATAACGTGAGGACGTAGCGACGATAACGTGAGGACGTAGTGACGATAACCTGAGGACGTAGCAACGATAACGTGAGGACGTAGGACGTAGTGACGATAACCTGAGGATGTAGTGACGATAACTTGAGGACGTAGTGACGACAATCTGAGGACGTAGTGACAATAACGTGAGGACGTAGTGGCGATAACGTGAGGACGTAGTGACGATAACCTGAGGACGTAATGACGATAACGTGAGAACGTAGTGACGATAATCAGGGGACGTAGTGACGATAACCTGAGGACGTAGTGACAATAACGTGAGGACGTAGTGACGATAACGTGAGAACGTAGTGATGATAACCTGAGGACGTAGTGACGATAACCTGAGGACGTGGTGGCGATAACCTGAGGACGTAGCAACGATAACGTGAGGACGTAGGACGTAGTGACGATAACCTGAGGATGTAGTGACGATAACTTGAGGACGTAGTGACGACAATCTGAGGACGTAGTGACAATAACGTGAGGATGTAGTGGCAATAACGTGAGGACGCAGTGACGATAACCTGAGGACGTAGTGACGATAATCTGAGGACGTGACTCAAGCTTTTTTGATCAAAAGATCAAATGTAACGTTGAGGCGGACCACACAGACGGACACGGAGAGGTCAGAGGTCAACCTGTCAGGTCAGCTAGTGTATTTAAATCCAACTGAAAACAGGCCGGCCGAGCAGATGATCGACATTTCTTAAAAAAAAAAAAAAAAAAAAAAAAAGGTCTGTTATGAGATTAATCCTGAAAAGTTTGGATTTAATGTCAGAGTGACAAAATGAAACTGATGAAAAAATATGTCGTCAGTAAATAAAGTTCAGACTTTATCTTCACGTCTGACGTCACTCAGAAATATTAGTTTGATTAAATGATCAGAATTCAGACTTTTTCCCTTCAAAACTCACTCACACTAGAATTTAATTCAGACTTTGAAAATCTCAACTTCATGTGATCAGAAGTCAGATTTGTTTATTTGTGTATATCAGTTCTTTTATTATTCTTTGTGAATCTTGAATTTATTTTTGTGAAGATTTTGAGAGTTAAGACTTTAAAAAGATTGACAAAATGTTGAGACCTCTCAAAAAAATTATTATTATTATTATTTTTTTATTTTTTTTTTTTTAAAAAAAGAGAAATCAAATCTGGGATTTTTTTTTTTTGTTGTTGTTGTTTTTAAGATTTTGAGATTTAAATCTTGTTATAAACGGCATTTAGTTGTTCTGACCTGAATCCAGACTGAAGTTTATTTTTGTGGTTCGGACATAAATCACTGAATTCAGACGTCTTGACTTAATAAAATTTAATTTGCAGAATAAATTTAAACATTTATCTCTGGTGACAAAATTTGGAGGAAGAAAGTTTCTCAGTTTGAGTGGAACTCGTCCAGATTATGACTCCATATGTTTTTTAAAAACTGAGACTTGTTGAATTTCTGTGTAATATCTGAGAACAGTAACAGAAGTTAGTGACATCATCAATGATGTCACAGTGATGTGGCCGAGCTCCTCTCCTCTGGTGGGATGTAAAAAACTACAAACATGGCTGTTGGACTACAACTACAGGAGCCTGATGAACCTGTTTGAACCGTTAACATTAAGATGAACTGTGTGTGTGTGTGTGTGTGTGTGTGTGTGTGTGTGTGTGAGTGTACTGACAGGATGTTAAAAAAAAAAAAGGTCCAATAAAATCAGATGTTTTGGTATCTCCTTGACTTCTGTTTATTTGTGTGACTCTGTGGTGTCTGTGGCTCAGAGGCAGAGCGGTGGTTTGATCCCCGATTCCTCCCGTCTACATGTGGAAGCATCTGTGGGTAACATTTTAAACCTTACATCACTGAGTGGCACTGTGTACGGCAGCCTGGGCCACCAGCGTGTGAACGTGTGAATGTGACATGATGTCAGAGCACTTTGACCATCACTTTAGTTTTTATATGACACACACTTTTAGTAATGACTTTAAAAATATAGATTAATTTGGAGCGGATTATGTGAAGGTCATATATTCTAATCCTCACTTCCTGTGGGCTACAGCAACACTAAACCCCTGAGCTTGCCTGAGAAGGACTAAATGCACAAAGCTGCTATTTTTAAATATCCCATGGAGAGAGACTCTCACTGCAGCCTGTTCTATTTTGTTGTGAAAATGTGGGCGTGCAGCCTCGTTCTGTGGACGATAAACCAGGTGCAGACTTCCATCTGTGTCACCGCTGATGAGGAAATACAGCGAGTGCTGGACGGAGCAGTGAGTGACAACAACCCCGCCCACATTTAAGAGGACTGTCTGAACACACCGAGGGTCTAGGTACCATGTCTGAAGGCTTACTGCTGGTTCCACAGGGTTTGATGGAGACGGGCTGACGCAGCTCTGATCAAATCTAAACCCAGATTCTGTCTCTGTGTTTCCTGTTTCTCTCCTCACATTTCAACAACATAATTTAACTTCCTGTCTAAGTGTCATATAAGATCGTTTCAAACAGAAAAGTTCACGTCACGTCACGCAGCAGTGGGAGCGTTAATTGGTCCTCTGTGGTGCAGTGCATTCTGGTAGTTGTAGGTGTTCTGCTTCTTGAGGAAAAGTGAACTTCACAGTCCTTCATCTGTTTCCTGTTTCCTGGGCTCATGTTGGACCAGTTGAACAGTATTTGTGTCTGTGCTGCAGAGACAGATCAGGTTAATGAACAGACGTCTGTCCTGAGGTGAAACACGTCTGTAACCAGAGTCAGGAACATCTGAGGAGGAGATCTGAATCACTGATGTTCTGACATGAAGCTGCTCGTTCTTCTCAGGCTGTGTGACGGAGGCGACTTCATGCAGCTCAAAGCAAACAATCTGAAGTTTGATTAAAGTGTGATGAAGTCATAAAATAACTATAACCATGACAGATAAAACTGTGATTAAACAGATTTAATATCTAATTAAAGACCTTAGTGATTATCATAAACAGACCCATCAGTGTACAGGGAGTGCAGCTCTCCTGCAGGTGCAGCCTGAGGCCACCAGGGGGCGCCACACACCAGGACCTGAAGGACACGTGAGTATTTGCTGTGGATTTTTATCATGACTTTGTCGAACCTCCCACTGATGCTCTGTGATGTCTCAGTGTTCTAGTCGTTAAAGATGCAGCAGTAAACTGTGGTGTTAAGGTTTAACTCAGAGTTCCTGTGTGTCTTATAGCGGGTTATATAGAGGTTAATATAAAGACAGACAATAACTGAACATGATGTTAATGCATTTTTATCATTAAACCAAACTATGACGTTTTTTCCCATTAAAGGGTTTTTTTGGGGAGTTTTTCCTGATCAGCTGTGAGGGTCATAAGGACAGAGGGATGTCGTATGCTGTAAAGCCCTGTGAGGCAAATTGTGATTTGTGATATTGGGCTTTATAAATAAAATTGATTGATTGATTGACTGAAGCTTCGGCTTGTTAAACCTTAACATTCATAATGTTTGTCAGCTCTCTTTAAACTAAACTGAGCACTAACAGGAAGTGACATAGACTCAGGAGATGAACTTTATCCAATCCAACTTTATTTGTAAAGCACTTTAAAACAACCACAGAGTACCAAAGTGCTGTACAGAAGAATAAATAAAAGACAAAACAGCTCGCACAAGGCATAAAATACAAGTAAAATAAATTAAGAGACATAAAACATTTGTAAAAAAAAAAGAAAACAGCTATACAATAAAAACAAACAATAAAATAAAATAAAATCAACATCTTACAGGGTGTCAAAGGCCAGGGAGGAGAGATGGGTTTTAAGAAGAGACTTAAAAATAGAGAAGACGCCTGTCTGATGTGCAGAGGCAGATCGTTCCACATTTTAGGAGCTGCCACAGCGAAAGCACGGTGCCCTCTGAGCTTGCATTTAGTTTTTGGCACACTCAGGAGCAGCTGATCAGCTGATCTGAGAGAGCGGGTATGTGAATACATATGCAGCAGCTCAGAGAGGTAGGGCGGGGCACGACCATTTAGGGATTTAAAAGCAAATAAAATAATTTTAAAATGGATCCTAGCGTGTATGGGCAGCCAGTGGAGTGAGGCTAAAATGGGAGAAATGTGCTCATGTTTACGTGTGCCAGTTAAAAGACGTGCAGCAGCGTTCTGAACCATCTGGAGACGGATGATGGAGGACCCACTAACCCCCACATAAAGTGCTTTATGGTAATCCAGCCGAGTGGTGATAAAGGCGTGGATTACTGTCTTAAAGTGCTACCTTGGAAGAATTGGCTTTATTTTGGCTAGCTGCCTAAGTTAGAAAAAGCTTGATTTAACGACTGCTTTGATCTGATTGTCGAGCCTGAGATCAGAGTCCACTTTAACTCCCAGGTTAGCGATGTTCGGTTTGATGTACTGGGCCAAGGAACCCAGATCTAGACAGAGGGTTTCAGTGGTGCCACCAAAAACCATCACTTCTGTCTTCTTTTTGTTAAAATTTAGAAAGTTCAGAGCCATCCAGGCCTTTATGTCATCAAGACACTTAAGTAACGGACTGACAGAGTATGCTTCATATTTTTTAAGAGGCATATAAATCTGAGTATCATCCGCATAGCAGTGACATAAAATGCCATGCTTTCTCAGTATGGAACCAAGCGGGAGGAAGTACAGAGAGAAGAGAAGAGGGCCTAGGACTGAGCCATGTGGGACTCCACATGACAGAGGAGATTAACAGGAAGTTTTAAACTGACCTTGAGTTTTATATTTGTTCATCATCTTGTGTTTAAATCATTTTAAATCTACTGTGTGTGTCACACACTTTAATCTCTGTTTCCACAAACTAAGACACAGCTTTTATTTTACATGTGTTCAGTTTCCTGTTAGTTCATACAGACATGCTCTGACCTGAAACCTCCTGTGTGACGACACGCTGCTGTGTGTCTGTCCATCAGTGAGGCTGTGTGTCTGTCCATCAGTGAGGCTGTTTGTCTGTCCATCAGTGAGGCTGTTTGTCTGTCCATCAGTGAGGCTGTTTGTCTGTCCATCAGTGAGGCTGTTTGTCTGTCCATCAGTGAGGCTGTTTGTCTGTCCATCAGTGAGGCTGTTTGTCTGTCCATCAGTGAGGCTGTTTGTCTGTCCATCAGTGAGGCTGTTTGTCTGTCCATCAGTGAGGCTGTTTGTCTGTCCATCAGTGAGGCTGTTTGTCTGTCCATCAGTGAGGCTGTTTGTCTGTCCATCAGTGAGGCTGTTTGTCTGTCCATCAGTGAGGCTGTTTGTCTGTCCATCAGTGAGGCTGTTTGTCTGTCCATCAGTGAGGCTGTTTGTCTGTCCATCAGTGAGGCTGTTTGTCTGTCCATCAGTGAGGCTGTTTGTCTGTCCATCAGTGAGGCTGTTTGTCTGTCCATCAGTGAGGCTGTTTGTCTGTCCATCAGTGAGGCTGTTTGTCTGTCCATCAGTGAGGCTGTTTGTCTGTCCATCAGTGAGGCTGTTTGTCTGTCCATCAGTGAGGCTGTTTGTCTGTCCATCAGTGAGGCTGTTTGTCTGTCCATCAGTGAGGCTGTTTGTCTGTCCATCAGTGAGGCTGTTTGTCTGTCCATCAGTGAGGCTGTTTGTCTGTCCATCAGTGAGGCTGTTTGTCTGTCCATCAGTGAGGCTGTTTGTCTGTCCATCAGTGAGGCTGTTTGTCTGTCCATCAGTGAGGCTGTTTGTCTGTCCATCAGTGAGGCTGTTTGTCTGTCCATCAGTGAGGCTGTTTGTCTGTCCATCAGTGAGGCTGTTTGTCTGTCCATCAGTGAGGCTGTTTGTCTGTCCATCAGTGAGGCTGTTTGTCTGTCCATCAGTGAGGCTGTTTGTCTGTCCATCAGTGAGGCTGTTTGTCTGTCCATCAGTGAGGCTGTTTGTCTGTCCATCAGTGAGGCTGTTTGTCTGTCCATCAGTGAGGCTGTTTGTCTGTCCATCAGTGAGGCTGTTTGTCTGTCCATCAGTGAGGCTGTTTGTCTGTCCATCAGTGAGGCTGTTTGTCTGTCCATCAGTGAGGCTGTTTGTCTGTCCATCAGTGAGGCTGTTTGTCTGTCCATCAGTGAGGCTGTTTGTCTGTCCATCAGTGAGGCTGTTTGTCTGTCCATCAGTGAGGCTGTTTGTCTGTCCATCAGTGAGGCTGTTTGTCTGTCCATCAGTGAGGCTGTTTGTCTGTCCATCAGTGAGGCTGTTTGTCTGTCCATCAGTGAGGCTGTTTGTCTGTCCATCAGTGAGGCTGTTTGTCTGTCCATCAGTGAGGCTGTTTGTCTGTCCATCAGTGAGGCTGTTTGTCTGTCCATCAGTGAGGCTGTTTGTCTGTCCATCAGTGAGGCTGTTTGTCTGTCCATCAGTGAGGCTGTTTGTCTGTCCATCAGTGAGGCTGTTTGTCTGTCCATCAGTGAGGCTGTTTGTCTGTCCATCAGTGAGGCTGTGTGTCTGTCCATCAGTGAGGCTGTTTGTCTGTCCATCAGTGAGGCTGTTTGTCTGTCCATCAGTGAGGCTGTTTGTCTGTCCATCAGTGAGGCTGTTTGTCTGTCCATCAGTGAGGCTGTTTGTCTGTCCATCAGTGAGGCTGTTTGTCTGTCCATCAGTGAGGCTGTTTGTCTGTCCATCAGTGAGGCTGTTTGTCTGTCCATCAGTGAGGCTGTTTGTCTGTCCATCAGTGAGGCTGTTTGTCTGTCCATCAGTGAGGCTGTTTGTCTGTCCATCAGTGAGGCTGTTTGTCTGTCCATCAGTGAGGCTGTTTGTC